GAGTATATTCGTGCCAAAAAACAATAGTTGCAAAAAATTTTGTTTTAATCTAGCTCAATTCTAACCCATAGTTAATTTAATACAACGAGTAACAAGCCTTTTGGCGCCGCTTTTATATAACTATTGAACATTTATATTATATATAATATAATCTCAGATCAAAAATAATAAATTAATGGAAGAGTCGATAAATTAGTGAACGAAAAACGGTGTCATTAGTTGTACGGCCCGTACGGCCCCTTCTCGTTGACATCGCCGGTGCGCTCCTTTCGCTGGCGAATCATATTCGGTGAGACAGTCTTGCGATCGTAGGCCCACCCGATGGCGCCGAACAGGTCTATGAAACAAGTGGTGAGATTGTAGTGGCGGCCCAACTCGGACGTCGCGTAATCCCAGGGAAACGTGTGGTGATAGTTGTGGAAACCTAACCGTCCGTTCAAAGCGTTAGTTAATATCACTGATAATAAGTCACACGTCGAGCAAACGGGGCATACCTTCGCCGATGGCACCGATGATTGTGACGCTGTTTTCCGAGGGGTTGATGTGCTTGTCGTAGGGCCGGCGGCCCCAGAAGTGGGCGGCGCTGTTCACCAGCCACGTCATGTTCAGTGTCCAACAGTACCGCAACATACCGCAGATGAAGTAGGCGTTCCAATAGCTCTCACCCCACAAGACGTAGGGTATGATTGCGGGCAACACGAAGCAGAAGAGGAGAACGAGTGGCAGATAGTGTTTCTTCTGGAAGCGCACGACTGAGTCCTGAAGCAGGTCTTCGCAGCTCACGTTTCGGCCCTTTTCGAGTACCTCCGGGTGCTTGCGGCACAGTAGCCAACCCACGTGCGCGAAAAAGAAACCCCTTTTGGCGTTGTGGGGGTCGGCGTCCGTCTCGGAGTACTTGTGGTGCACGCGATGGTCGCGACTCCACTCGTAGATTGAGTTCTGCGCCCAAAACCAATGGTTATTATTCACTGAAAACATGCATTCAATGCAAATGAAGGCTCACTTGAAATGCGATTGTATTGAAGATACAGAGGATGACTCTTAGGGGCCATTTGGCTTTGTATGCGCGGTGTGACCACAGCCGGTGCGCACCGGCAGTAATGCCCAGACCGGAGATTACGTACAGGAATACGGCTAAACACCAAACACATCATTCATTAGCGATTTGTCTCGTAAAATATATCAACACTTCGTATGACATACCGAAAGCTATAGTCTGCCAGTGGGCTGACTCAAAGCACAGGTAGAGTCCGTAGAGAGCGGCCAAATGGAGGCCAGACATAATGGCAACGTTGCGCCAAACGATCTCCAACTTGTACTCCCGTTTGGGGGCTTTCATGCCATCGATAATGTCAGTCATCTCCGGCTCAACCGGCGATTCAATATTAGGTGCCATTCCTTTTGTGCCTAATCTGGACTTATCTGTAGTGCATATAAATTAAACACTTAATTAGATTATCATTTCATTTTCAGTTCATATGTATTAAGAGTGTATTCATTTTGAGACTCAACTCTAATTATAGCGTTTGATTAGTGAGAGATAGAGAGAAAGTTTTTCTTTTAAATGTTTTGTCCAAACAATTTACTGTATGAGTACTGAATACATTTAATATAAATCTACTTTATTAATTTCAATGTAGTAGGCTATTATATTTAAATCTATTATGCTAATTCCAAGTTTAGAGACAATTTTTAGTGTTTATTAGTTATTTATTATAATAGTAATTGTAAAATGTGGCTAGCTTATTAATTCAAAATAAAACCAAGGAAGTTTAGTGAATTAATAAAATATAATATAATTATAGACATTGAGAGTCGGGTGCGCCGGGAGATCGCGAATCATAGGGAAAGACAACGCGTGAAGNATGCTGCGCTCGGATGACAGCAATACTATCAGCAAATCGGCGGTCATTTTCCGGTGCATAGACTATATCCTGTGCCTCGAGAAGCACCTGTCGGTTCACTTCGAGGAGAATATGTATCTCAAATTATTGTAGACAAACAAATCTCATCCTGGTGATTAATTGGGGTCTTATATTAAAGCAAATTATATGTATTTATAATCACTTTTTAGTTATTATATGTAGAATTTTGTTATTAAATACAATAAACTTTTTAAAAAATTTGGAAATTTTAAGATTCGTACAAATATTATTGAATTTTATCACAAATATGAGTTTATACAATTAAATAAGTTTGCAAATTATTAATTTTAAGTCTGTGACCACACTACAAATGATAATAATACTGTACATGGCATAATTGCACAGTCATTTAAAATATCTAAATATTAATATGGACTGAAGTGGTTAGTAAATGAATTTAGCCGATGTTTAGGCACATCATTGTATTTATTGAATAAATGGTTACAATAAACCGGTATGAATGCAAATAATTGTTAGCCCAAACTTAGAGTTCAGGGGAACCCAAGTGTGAACCAAACAGTCTGCAAGTCTAGGAAGAAGTCGTAACATAAGAGAGTGCATGTGATTGTGTAATATTACCACAACTGTCGAGAACTTAGGTCTAGCCATTGGGAGGGGACCCTATGGTCTTAAAGCATAAACTATTGGCCCATATCTATATCATATATTGCATTTAAGAAATAAGCAATCACAATTAAAAATCTCTTTGGTATTGCGCCCACGAATTTAATCATGAAAATTATCCTTGATTCATATAGTAATTTAAATAAGGTTACTTTGTTGGTTAATCTTATTAATTTTGAATTAAAGTAATTTTAATTCAGTTAATAATTATCCAACTATTGCATGAACAATTATTTGCTATAATTTGTGGATGTTAATTTATACTATTAATGTATACATTGTATAGGGTTCCCTATCAAAAGACCTAATGATCAAAAGACCTAAAATTGATCAAAAGACCTAATTTTGATATCGAATATCGGATTAAAGACAAAATGCAAAAAAACGACTACAATCCGATATTCCCTTATATAGTCATCTTTTGTTCAAATTAAAATTTTGATAAATTTTAGGTCTTTTGATCATTATGTCTTATGATCAACTACCGTTAATAACATTTCATTAACAGAATTTTTAAAGTTTAAAGTTTTATAGATATTTTTACTGGTACTAAATTATTTAAATTCAAGAAATTAAATAAGTTAATATTTTATTACAAAATTATATATATAGTGTATTTTATTACAAACCAAGGATTTAATCTTAAAAATTAAGGTATTAATAGTGAAAATATTTTGGTGATAAGTACACCAAAATGTCAATAAAGAATGAAATTTTTATTCCTGTATTACAAAATGTTCATAA